GCTGCCCAGACGACTCCACATTCAGAGCCAGTAACTCAGAACCGACTGGGGGCAGCCAGTACCTTCAGAGGAAAACCTGTTCTGATGTCCAAAGCTGCCAGAGGAGGGAGGTGGTTTCCTGGCGGGAGTGGTGTCCTCTGCAGGGAAACAAAGAGAAGACCTTTCACATGACTGTGTGTCCACTGGCTGGACCTTCAGCCCATGCACGGGGGGCCCTGGTATCAGATGCACCTCCTCCTGCGAAGCAGCGGGGCCAGAGCCCTGGACACAGCTCTAGGACGGCCTCTCCCTCGTGCTCACACCAGCTTTGGGCAGCGCAACGTGGTCTGGAAGATCCTTCCTGAGCCTGGTCACAGGGCCTCCCCAGTACAGGCCATGGGTTTGGGAGGAGCAAAGGTCACTGTCCTATTCACCTCTTGACCTCAGACAGCTTCTCCAGGAGCTGGCAGGGGTGGATTTATACCCTAACACATACACACAGTCAGGGAGCTCTGGTAGCTTAGTCATAAGGAACTGCACTAACAATACAACGTGGTTCGAATCCACCAGATGCTCTGTGGCAGAAACATGGTCAGTTTGCTCCCGTGCGATTTACTGCCTCTGAAAATGCGCTGGAGGGCCAGTTATGGTTCCAAATCCAGGATACACAACAACAAACACCACACACACACACCCCCTCATGTCACCTCCCATCCCGGGCAGAAAACCGAAGGGCATGGCCATGGCCTGTATTTCGGGTAGATCCTTGGAGCTCAACGCCACTCACCATTCTTGTTGCCTGTTGACTTGGGAACGCTAGGCAGCTCTTCCTTCCCAGAACCCCTTGCAGCTGTTTTGCTAGAGGTGAGGTTAGATTTCTTCAGACCCAGGAGGTCGGCATCCATGTCGTCCATGTCCTAGGAAAGCAGGAGGCGGGAGGGTCCCTAAGGCACCTGGTCAGTCAGTAATTAGTTACTGACCCTCCGACCCTCCAGTCAGCAGCGACACTGCGGGCTGTCTCAGTCACAGAACAAGGACAGAGGTGCAGTCTCAGTACACCTGCTCTTACACTGGCCCTTCCACGGGACAGGAAGGGGGTGGTGGAGGTTTGGGACTAGGGTTATGTCTCAGATAGAGGGGAGGGGATCTCTATAACCTTAGAAAACAGTTTCTATCCAGAGAGGCAGAGATGGGCTCCACCGAGCACCAGGAAGAACAGAAACCCGTGCCCTAAAGGGAGAAGTTCTGGGGAGTATGGCGTCTTGGCACAGACACCACTACCCTGGTCCCACAGAGCTGTGCAAGCCACTGCTTCACCTGCATAGCTTGGAGCAAGGCCTCTGGGTCTGCATCCGAGACATCGGAAACCTGAGGACACAGGAGGGCAAGGGGTACGTCAGTCAAGACCTTGGAGAACTCACCTCCGAGTTCACTGCAGCCTGGCTTCCAAGAGGGCAGAGCAGAGCTTGGTGGGGAGATCAACAGAAGGGATCCTCAGTCCCTTCAGTGTGGGACCTGGCTGCTGCTTGCAGTCCACCCTGCCCAGTGTGGAGACCTGGAAGAGGCTGTCTCTTGGCCCTCACTGCTGGAGAGTCTACTTCCAGCACGGGCCCCCGGCTCATGCTCCCTGCCACCCCCATGACAGTACGTGTAGCTTTGCTGTAAACACCACACTACATGGGCCAGCATCCTGGGAGCTCTGCTTTCTAGCCTTTCTCCTTGTGGGAGCCCGAGGGTTTGCCAGGCGGTCACAGAGTACCGACTTGCTTTAAGGAAATGCTGCCATTGCGTGGGCTGAGCCCTTCTGGGACTGGCCTCCTGGCCGCACCATCAACCTTTTTTTATGGGATGAGGAAGGAGGGTGAGGGCCTGGGAATGGGCGTCACTCACCTCAGCATCTGCTCCCACCAGGCCTGCCATGGTGCTGCAGAAGTCACCTTCCAGTAGGGACCTGCAAAAGAGCCCAATGAACCCCTCTCAGAGGCAGGCAGGCAGGCCTCTGAGAGACTGTGGGTTTGGATCCAGGTCGCCACAACAAAGCCAGGATCGAAAGAAACTGAGTCCTATAGCTGTTCTTTCCCAGGGCACACAGAAGTCGTGTTTGCACTGTACCTTAGTGCATACACTGCAACGGTCACCAAAACGGGACCCAGATCAATTGTAATCAATGTTGTGATACAAAAGGCCTGTGACTGAGTGAGTGAAAAACCAATCTGATGAGTCAACTTACACTCAAACAGACATGATGCAGAGTCACAAAGTGAACTCAGGCTACCGGCAAACACCCCAACAGACCGGCCTGACGCAGCGTCGCCACAGCCTCCAATTTGCAAAGAATGACCTGTCTGGGAAGTGCTGTCCAGGGATGCCCCGGAAATGGAATCTGCAATCCTACAGCAGGGAGAGCGTGCAGTCCAGCCACCATGGACCTTGTTCCCTGAGAGGACAGCATTGCTGAAAGGGATTTCACAGGTCACCTCAGGCAGTGGTTCTCTAAGCCCCTTCAAGCACAAGCTGCGAAGGACAGTAACAGGAAGGAGAGACAGCACTGCTTGAGTTAAAACGGGAAGGGGCAAGAATTCACGAGGTGCTTCTCTATTTCCCTTATCGCTCCTTAATCGTGAGAACCTTCAAATTGCAAACAGACTCTGGAAATTAGGCTAATGAGGCTGGGAGAGGTACAGAAAGGTGCCCAGAGTTACACAATAAGTAACAAGGCAGGACCGTCAGGCAGGACTGGGGACTCCGGCTCCTTCCACCACCAGGAGCTGAGTGGAGGGGGTGCAGAGGAGTGGGGTCTGGAGGAGCCCAGCACACAGGGACTCAAAGGGTCAGTGGTCAGCCACTCTGGTGCTTACTTTGTTCTAACCCTTGAAGGAAGTACCCGTGACCCGCCTGGGGCATCTCTGGTGCGTGGAGCTAGTTTTACAGGCTTCTCAGATGAATCCACTGGAAAAACAGACAACAGAAAAGGTGTCATTTGACCTGATGTCAAGTGAAAGACTCCCAGGTCCCCCACCAAGCTATTTCTCAGAACTCCCGAGGACCTGTGTGGACAGTGCCTATATTATCCTTTGAAAAGGCTGGTTGGGGGGCACCAGTACATTTCCACACAGAGTTAACCCTAAATGCCTACTGGTACCAAGTAAAAGGCCAACCTCACTCCATGGAAATGCAGGAAGAATAAAGTTACTTCCACTCTCCAAAACTCGAAGCGGCCTTCATGCTTTTGGGTGCTCCCAGACCAAGCGAAGGGGCCCAAGTCTCACATGTGGTGACCCTGAAGTCCTGCTCCCCAGATACACAGGGTCGTGTGTGCAGAACATGGGATGGGGTTTCACAGACCCACAACCATGAACGTGTACTGGGTCTGCCTTTGGGGTGATGAGAATGTTCTGGAATTAAGTAGCGATGCTGATTTGCATAGCTTAATGACAACACTAAAAACAAAACAAAACAAACCACTCCACTGGTACACTTTAAAGTGGCTAATTTGATGGTGTCAATTTAGAACGACAACTGGAAAATGAACAAGTCCAAAACGGAGGACACTTACTATCATCTCCCAAGAGGTCACCAAGGACATCATCGATGGAGTCTGCAACAGAAGAGGAGCCCCAGGAGGTCAGGACAGGCAAGGACGGCTCACAGGGAGCCTCGGCTCTGGAGACCTCGCCCCGGGTTCAGAGCTCTCAGGGGTTAGAATGAAATTTTTCCCTTCGCTGTCCACAGTGTTCTCTAACTTACTAGTAATAAGAAACTGAAAATAACTTTTCCCAGTAACGATGTAAAGATCTTCAGTGTAATCCATTGTCTGTGCCAAATGGACACATGACAAATGGACAGCAGCCGTCCTTTAAACTGTGAATGGAGACTGCATGCACCGTAAGGTCATGGACATGTTCCCTGAAGGACCACATCGACCTCCGTAAGGACAACAGTCAAATCAAAACAACTATGAGATACCACCTCACCCCAGTCAGAATAGCAAAATTTAACAGAGCAGTAAACAACAAATGCTAGCGAGGTTGTGGAGTCACAAAAAGACAAAAGGACAAACACTGAGTAACACTGCAGTACTGACGGAGGGGCTGGGGGGAGAATAGGAAAAGAGGAGACAGATAATATACAGTGTGTTGGAACAGATGTGGGAAGTAACGGTTTAAAAGGAGTATATGAGTAGGTATTAGATGCATGAAATAATGCAGAATAAGAGGTGCGCTGCAAAGTGGAGGGGGATGGAGGAAAACGGGCGACAAGGAATGAATGAAAACCCAACTTCTCTGTAAACTTTCAAAAATCACAATAAAAGACAAATACTGCATGGTGCCACTGTTGTAAAATGGGACTGACATCAGGGTTGGGGGGAGACTGAGAAAGATGTGATAAATTATGGATACTGCATTGAAACAGGTGAAGGAGAGAACTGTTTCAAAGGGATATATGATTGGGTATTATTGTCATGACAGGAGTCCAGAACGAAGGCTGCACAGTGGAGTGGACTTGGGGGGAAGGGATTGGATAACAATGAAGGAATTTTTCTTTTACTTTTCAAAGAGAAGAGCAAACTGGGAGGGAGGGGTGGGCAGGGAGAAAAGTGCAACAATGAATGAATGGAAATCCAAAGTCTCTGTAAACGTTCATTAAAATTAATAATTTTTTAAAAATCATAATAAAGCATATTTTAAAAAAATAAATAAAGGACACAGGTGGTTTCAGCTATGGCACACCCACCACAGGGCTCTGGAACACCCACCTGTAGAAAGCCCACCCCAAAAAGCCAAACACTGGCGTCAATTTGCATCCGGTTTGGTGGGACCCCCCCCAATCAGGTGTCCAAGGCTGTGAATCCTACAGGAGGAGACCATCATCTTCCTCCCACGGAGCACCTGGGGGATCCAAACTGCAGCCTTTCAGTTAACAGCGCAACATATAACGCACTAGGCCACCCCGTGCCTTAGAAACCTCAGTGCAATTTAAAAATACAAACAGTGGAGATTAATTACAGAGAGCTCTCTAGATATTCTTTCTCGTCAAGAAAACTGCTTATGCAAAAGACATCACTGCGTGAAAAGTGACTGGAGGTGAATGTAACAGAGACACAGAAAGAAGGTGCAGAGCTGCGGAGCCCAAGCAGCACAGCACTGGCGTCCCGATTAACAGTCCAACCATCTGCTGCTGAACACCCAGTAAGGACTCCGTCCAAAGTCCCATCCCTTAATGATTTCTGATTCTCTTCGAGGGCCAGTGTGGGAGGACAAGGAGTTGGCTCCTAGGAAGACCAAGGCTGCCCAAGGATTGACAGGCAACAAAACCAGCAAGCCCTGCAGTGGAGGTAAGGGAGGCGGGTACACACACAAACACACTCAGCTTAAGGATGATGTCCCATTTCTCCACTTACCTTTTAATCCCTTCTTGGTTTTTGCTGCCTAAAAATGGGGGAGAGGGGAAAATCACACGAACAAAGTTAACAGGGTTGAAATGGGAGAAGCAGAAGGCAGGAAGCTCGCCTTTTACCAAGTGTCCAAGGAAAGGGAACCCCGGTGATATTGAAGACAGAAACCCTTTGAGCTGCTCTCCCAGTTCCCGAGAACGGGCCACTCTCGTGGGTGGGAGTCTCTTCTCTTCCCCAATTTCAAGTTCGAGATGTCAGGGTGGGATGTGTGCAACTGTCTATCTTTTCTTCCACCCAGGCACCTCCCTCCTCACCCTCAAGTGCAGACATTTGAAAATGCTTTCAGCTCGACATTCAGAGGCTCGGTAGAAACCTTTGCACATTGCTGAGTGAGAAATTGCCAGCCCTTACTTTCCTCCAGGAACCACATCCGGGTCCTTGTCACCGCCTCCTAACTGACCATACCCCGTCAAGACCTTGTGAGAGAAGAGGTCACACTGGCACACATCTTACCCTGCATCCCACCTACCATCTCAAGGCTCTGGGGCTGCCTCACAACGACGGTCACTTCCCTGGAAGGTCACCCACAACAGGCCTCTTCCTCACCTAATGAAGAAAACCAAAGTGGTTACTTAGGAAATGATGTGGATTTAATTTCACTTGAGACCAAGGTCTATTAAGGCTTTTTTCACTTGACCTACTCAAGAGGTTAAAACCTGCTTACGTTAAGTCAAAAATTTCCAGTGGGAAAAGAATTCAAAAGAGAAGCAAAGAGCTTTAGGTAACATAATGGGTTTTTCGAGGCCTGCATCCAGATCGCTCCCAAAAAGTGCAGTGGTCTTGAGCCCTTATTTTGAAAGATGAGGGAAAACAGTAGGAGGAAGAATTCTTTTCAGAAAGGAAGCCCCATGGCCCAGTCGGCTTCCCACGACCACTTTCTGGCCAGCAGTGCAACACAAGCAGAAGCAGCCCTCCGTCACTGACAGTAGAACGACTTCACTGATGGTAGAACGACTTCCCTACCTCCATAGAGTTGCACCGTTAACCCCAAGCCCGAGCCTCTCTGGTGGTACCAGCTCTGAGAGGACGGGCCTCCAAAATCCCTGGAGGGTCAGTTATGGGTCGGGTCTGACTCCACAGCTCTTAAACTTCACAAAGCATGGGTTTCCCTCCAAATTTGACCTCTCCCACCCCTCCCCTTCCAGCTCTGGCGGCTTAATGGTAAGGAATTGGGCTGTCAACACAAAGGTACGCAGTTCTAGTCCTCCAGCTATGCCGGTGGGAGAAAAATGGGCAATCTCCTGTGTGGTTTACTGCCTCTGAAAACCCACTGAAGGGTCTACCTGGGTCGGCTCCACCCTGATGTTACAGACCCCCTTTCCCCTGAACAAAAATACCAATTGCCTCTTTATAGGTGTTCGCCTGCCCTGTTATAAGAGTTCAGTTTATTTGGGGGGGTCAGGGGACAACATGGGCCAACCTGAGTGTATTTTTCTCTAAACTGGCAACTTTCACCAGTCCAAGTATGGTTCAACGCACATCAAACAACTTCTGTTCTCTTTTACCCAAAATGATTGGCCTGTTTCCCAAACCGCGAGAAATTCGTGCGCCGTTCAAAAAGGCCAAAAGTACCGGGTGGCGCGGGGTTAGAGTGCTAACCGAAAGGTTGGCGGATCGAAGCCGCCCGCCACTCCGCGGAAGGAAGGAAGGGGTCGGCTTTGGGGAGCTTGGTTTTGGAAACACTACAACAGCTCTAGTATGTCCGACAGGGTTTCTCGGGGTTTTGAAAGGCCCCCCCCCCCCGTCGTCGCTAACTCCCCAGCACCAGCCAACCCAATGCCCGCGCGTGTGGTCAGCGCTGGGTCCTGAGACTCTGCACCCCTCCATGCGTCACCCCGCGCGCGCTCAGCCGATCTCGGCCCCCGTGCAGCCTGGGTGCTCCCCTCCCTGGAGCCCCCCGTTACGCGCCATTCCCCTCGGAGGTGCAGCCGTCAGCGCCCGGGCCCGCCACTGCCGCAGCCCGTCTCCACTTGAGCCCTGCTCGGTCAGGCCTCCCGCCTCCGAGCCCCGCAGGCGCCAGCTTCGCCCAGGAGCGCGAGGCATCCTGGGAATTGTAGTCCGCACTCTGCTCGTCTGCGGGAACCAAGGGGAAAGCAGCACCCAGACGAACTACATTTCCTATGGTACCCGCCGCGGTCCTCAGCCGCCCGGCCTCTGATAGGGGCTCGGGCTCGGCTCGTTGCTAAGAGCTGCCCGGACGCTGCCTGGGACAGGTGACAGGTGGGCGGATGAGCATCTACCGTCAGTCCTCCTTGGACGGGTGCTGGAAACTGGACTGGGAAACAGAATACTTAAAAGTTTGGTCTTTTTAGGGGAGCTCTGGTGGCCTAGTGGCAAGGAGCTGCAACTATAATCCCAGAGGCACACGGTTCGAATCCACCAGATGCTCTGCCGGGAAAAGAAGGGACAATCTCCTGTACCAGTCAGATCTGATTTGACGGTACACTCACACAAAAATAAAAAATTTTTTTTAAAAAAAGCTTGGCCTTTTTTGAGGGCTGATTTGGGTGGGCATAGGGGCGCATTGGTAAGAAACCTGTTAAAATGGAAAGGTTCACCGTTGTTAGTGGGCTCACAGCGACCCTATAAACATAATCGTTTTCCTATCCCGCCCCATACTCAGTCTCTCCCTTACTTATGCGCATTATTGCTAATCCTGTCTGCTGACCCGCCACCATTCTTAGCATGATGACTTTTTCCAAGGACTAGCACAAAAATCCTCGCCACTTGACCAATTGCCAGTATAGGTGGAGTAAAGATTGAAGCTGCCAATGATTTCGCTTTACTTGGATCCACAACCAACACACCTGGTTAACAGCAGCCAAAAAAATCAAGACACTTTGCATTGAGAAAATCTGCTGTCAGAGACCTCTCCAAAGTGTTACAGAGAAAGGATGTCAGACTAAGGTGCGCCTGATGCAAGCCATGGTCTTTTCATGGTCACTTCTTATGCACGTCAAAGTTGGATAATGAATAAGGATGACAGAAGAGTAACTGATGCCTTTGAATTGTGGTGTTGGAGGAGTACTGAGTATCTCACAGATGGACAAAGTACAACCAGGGTTCTCCTTGGAGGCAAGGATGGTGAAACTTCATCTGACATACTTTGGGAATGTTTTCAGGAGGGGCCAGTGCTTGAGAAAAGACATCATGCTGGGAAAGGTAGAGGGTCAAAGAGTAGACAACCTTCAGCAAGGTGGATTGACAGTGATCACCAATGGACCTGAGCCCAAGAGATTAAGATGGCACAGGGGAGTGCCAGGTCCGAATCATTTGTTCATAGAGTTACCATCATGTCTTGTTGGCACCTGACAACAGCACCTCCTCACAACATCCGCAAAGTAAATGAGACTGCTTCACCACCTTTGCGTCCGAGTTTGGACCCTGGATGACAATTTCCAGTTTACACCTTCTCCAATGCTGATTTGGTTGTTCTGTTGCCAGTCCCAAGCACCAGCATTTATTTCACCCCCAAAAACTTTTATAAGAGATGCCACAATTCTCAGCAAAAAAGGCACAAACACTTCATGTGTGCTAAATACAGACTTTATTGAGGGTTATTCAGTTTCACAAGGGAAAGGGGTTAGTTGTTGGCTTTCCACAAACCAAGGAGTGCTGGCCATCGCTGTCCAGTCATGATTCATATGCTCTGGCCTCAGCATCACCTTGGGAATACACAGGTCCTCAGGACAGGCCAGCCAGGGCTGGGGAACAATACATGTTAAAGGGAGCCTGCTCAGGTAGCACCCACACAAACCACAGCAGTAGAGGAAAAAGGTGGCAAAGGATACAAGTGACTTCATGAGAATCAAAGGAACTTAACTGTTTACAAAGTCAAAGCCAACAGTCTTAACATTACAGGGAAGATCTCATATTTCCTATTCAAAAATAATTTAAGGATGTTTAACAGTATTGTAGCAAAGCTTATTTTGGTTTAGAAGTTTTAAAAATCACTGATTTTTCCTTGACAATTTTTCCTAAGACAATGGCTCACTTAAATTTAAGGCAAAACCATGACAAAAACCCTCTTGGAATCTTGGATCTTCAACAGTTCTGGTCATTCTAAAGGTTTCTCACTGGCCCATTTCCTGCTGGAGCCAAAAGAATAAGTACTGAAGAGTAATTTCACATGTCACTTAGTGTGTTTTGGCCTAACCCATTGAAAATGGAGTAGAAAATATTTAGCTGAGATCAACACCCTGTGTTAGACCATAAAAGTGCTCAAAACCTTTGAGTAAACTGATCTACAAATACTGGTCTTAGATGTTATACAGGTTGATCCTGGCTCATGGCAAAACCCTGAGAAAAATTCCTTCCAGTGTCCAGGCTGTAAATCTCTGTGGGAGCAGACTGCTTAATTTTCCTTAGAATAACTAGTGGATTCAAATCCCTCACTACTGGTCAGCAGGCCCTCAGGTATCCACTAGGCCACTAGACGTCCCCAGAACGATCAATTTACAGTGCTGCATTTCTCCTGCTGAAGTACTATACTGAGGAGAATCTAAGAGTTAAGATCTAACATGTTAACTTTGTTGTTATTATGTGCCCTATGTACAATAGCCCTAAACCTTGCTCTATCCAATGCCAGTCTTATTGTCACACCTATCCCCATTACCCTAGTCACTGAATCAACCCATCTCATGTTAACTTTACCTTCTACAAAATGTTTCTAGGTACAAGCCAAGAGTCAGCACGTGGACATAACATTTTGTAAACAAGGTACTATTCTGAAGATAAGGTGATCCTTAACAGTGCTGACTTGAAGAACAGAACAAGATCCCTAAAGGCTTTTGGACAAGTGAACTGAGATCACTGATGTCCCAATACTGATCATAACTCATTAAGTACCTCATTCGGGACTGAGTTGACACTGCCTCCAGCTGACCCGTCAGCAGGATTCTAGAGTCTGTAAGCTGCCCTAGAGGAGATGGCCTGTCTTTTAACCCATGGACTTGCTGGTGGATTCAAACCAGTGCCTTTGAGTTAGCAGTGCAACTCCTTACAGACTCTGCCACCAGAGCTTCCTCCGTCAATCAGTATCCAGAAGAGCGTAAAACTCTGCTCCCACACTGGAGGAAGAGGGATCCACCTTCATCCAATAAAAGAGCAAAGTCAAAATGTCAATTTTGTATTCCACTCAGAAACTCACAACCCACAAGCAGCTCTGGTTGCACAGTTCATACGTAGCACTTTGTGCTGCTCAGAGTAAAGAGGTTCACTAGGTCAGTTATCCAGCAAAGTGAATATACAAAACCCTCATGAATTCGATCCAGGACTGATGGGCATTTTCTCAGTAAGGAGCACGGTGTCTGCGCTTTCCCGAGCCCGAGCCCAGAATCCCTCCTCCACTGGCCATGCTGCCCGAACTCAGCCTCAGCCCTCGCAACTCTGGGGTTTACAGACATCTGCGTGGTCACATCTCCCTCCTGCTTCTGCTGGTTTTGTTCTGTGCTACCTATACCTATTAACTCTACATTTAAAAATTCTTCACAATTTAAACTAATTTTTAGTTGTGTGGTTTACTTTGTCCGTTAACAGAAGAAATAAGATTTTTACTCTTTTCTTTGACTACATGAATAAAGTTCAAGACAAACATACCATATTATTGAAAAGTGTCAATATGCCATTTGGGGGGAAAAAATAGCAAAACCCAAGGTGTTAGACTTAAGGGGATTCTGCCATGTCTCTAACTTCTTCAAACCTGGATATAGTGATGTCATTTCAAACACGTGCAGATCCTGCCCACACATATTCAACTGTGAGTCAGGTATTTAAGCATTGATTTTGAAAGCATTCTACATTTAACAAAATGGTCAACAAGAAACACCTTCACTGTATCTTCTGTTATTTCCTGTACTCTGAATTACTATCAGGGCGCAGCCAAAGTCAACTAAAAGAGAAATTTCTCCTTCAGTCTTAATTATCCAACTGTTCACACAGAGAGAGAACTGTATTGACGCGATACACTCCGCTGCAACCAAAAGGTTTCACGTTACCAGCAGCACAGATCTTGACAGGCCCCAGGATTCCAGCAAGACAATCACTCAAAAAATGACACTGCTCACACAAGACTGTACTGTCAATACTGATTCTACAACAATTGGTTTTATGAGGCAGTTGTCACAGATACAGTTTAAACCAAAACAAAAAACTTGTGTTTGTGTTGTTCCACACTGATTGTAAGGAAAAAATTAAGAGGCGTATGTTTTGATCATTAAATATAGAATGATTGTGTCAATCAGATTGCAATTGAAAGGACACTTTAACAATTCAGATACAGCTCCTAGAAACACAGGTAGTAACAAACAGATGCTGCAAACCCCAATTTTCCTTTCACTACAATGTCAATGATTCTATTTTCTAAATAAAAACCACCATACATAGTTTGTAAGGGACTGCTGTCTTAACTCTGGGCATAAGAGGTGAAATGCTTTTTTTGTGTGTTTTTCTTTCTTTTTAATGGAAAATACAGCAACCTTCAAGCATTTTAATGGCTTAGGCCAAGATGCCAGAATATCTGGGGTCTTGATTGTACCAGAAAAATACAACTAATTAAGGTGATCAAAGTTACAACAGCTCTTTAGCAGAGAACATTGTAGTAAGGAAAGACTGAGTCTTCACATTTGTCTCTCTTCTTTAGTATCTTTTCCAGGAGGCGGAAGAGGAGAAAGGAAGAGAGGAAAGGAGTAACAGTATCACTGAGGGCCAGAATCATATGGAAAGAACATTTTGTTACATACTCCTAAGAACAAACAGGTATGTTTTGGACAAGGTGCTTTAGGGACAAAGGAATTTATAGTGCTACTCATGTGGAAATTTAGGACTTCTCCCAATGAAAGGTCAACTGCTGTTCACAAGAGATAATGAGCCTGTTGCTGAGGGTGGAAGTTCTTATGTTGGAAACACATGTTACTGTGAATAGTTAAGACAGGAGCAACACACTGCAAAGGCAGGGAAGAAGAGAGAAAACCTGTGCAACACACACCCACAACATTAAGCTTCCTGATTCCTTGCTTTTACAAAGTCCTGTTCCTTCACCCTGCTTTTAGGGCCAGGACATTAGCAGAAAATACTAGAAGGTTCCATCTCCTTTGCTTTAAAAAAAAAACAAAACCCAAAAACGTTTGCTTAAAAACACTTATATATCCAGTGATTAGCAATTAAAACTGGAAAATCATTAACTACTTAGTAGTTATCTTCTGCTAATTATTTATGGAGATCAGCAGCATTACAAAGGGAAGTCATACTGTGTTTCTTAAAGCTCTGTCTGAATGCCTAATGGGTCTCTTTCCGTGTTAATTGCACTTGAAACACATCCATTCTTCATTAATCTCTGAAATTTGTCTGTTGACCCCTCCCCCACTCATTCATTAAAAAGGGAAAGGGGTCAATTTATCATTTTCTCTATAGCTGTTGGAATTCAATGACTGTAGAGCCAGCTCTGCACATGAGGTCAGGAGGCTGCCTGCTGGGACAGGTGGACCTCAGTGGTGGCACTCCAGAATCACAACTTGGACTGCAGCGGTTTCAGGTACTTGTGGTAGGATTCATGGACCTGCAGAGAAGGGGAGGAGAGGAAGCGGTCACTACAGCTGCCAGTGTCACATGGTCTCATTTTATCATGGTCTCATTTTATCTTATTTGTGTACGTTTACAGAGAAAATTTTTTAAAAGGTTTAGAGAGTAGTTATTCTTAATTAAGAAATTTTTTTTCTATAATTATATTTTATTAATTTTCATAAACATTTACAGAGATTTGGGGCTTCCACTCATTCATTGTTGCACTATTCTCTCTACCCTCCTCCCAGTTTGTTCTTGTCCAAATGCCACAGTGCTTGTCAAAGCCAGTTCTGATTAATCTTCTTTGTCAGTGTATCCTTTGCCATTCCCTATCACTCCTCCCTGAGAGAGACTTCACCCTGAGTCATAAGGAAAAGGGGACGGCGTATTCTCTTAGCTACTTCCTGCTGAAAAGGGACGCTGTGGGTTTCAGGGTGAAGATCTTCTCTCACTACTCTAAAGGGCCCCTTTGGCAGTAGGAAATTAAGAAATTTTTTAAAATGAAGACATTATCTGGATCTCATTGGGACTCAGATTCAGGAATTGGAGCACACGGGCCATGAGCCGACTGCTACTGTAGAAGGGCACCTCGCAGCAAGCTCCACCCCAAGTGTGTGCAAAGGTTCAACCAGTTACTAAACTCAAGGCAAAGGAAAGCTGCTTCAAGTGGGTGACCTGGTCCTCTTCTGAACTGGCTTTTCAAATAAAGAGGATGAAAGGGCTTTTACTATGGTCTCACCTGCCTTACAATTTACTTGTTTTTTAATTAATTTTTTTTATTGTGATGTGAATAGAAGCCTGTTAAGAAAACTGGTTCTCCATTCAACAACTCACGTCCATTATGTCTGTGACACAGGTGACTCTGCCCACGTTTTCTACCCTGTGCTTCTCATTTCCTTCAGTCCTAGCCTACCTCTTCCTGCCTTCTAAGCTTCATCCCTAGGCAAGTGGTTCCCTTCCGATCTTGTTTAGCTGGTTGGTCTCCAGAGTACACAGCTGCCTAGTATTACCGTCATCTTACACAAAAACAGCAAAGCTACCAACTGCCACTGAGTCACTTCTGACCTAAAACGATCCTACAGGCTGTAAGATTTCCCAGGCCGTAAATCTTAACAGGAGAAGACTGCCCAGAGCTTTCCCTCTCAGAGTAGCAGGTGGATTCAAAACCCTAACCTTCAAGTTAGAAGTAACCTGACATGTGACACATTATGCCATCAAGGTATAGTCAGGTGCAAAGCTGAGTCATGGAGTACTGCCTTAGCATTTAAACGAAAACTTTAAACAACTAAAAAAAGACATTATTTTTACAAATCACTGTAGTTTTGTGATTTCTTATTTGGTACTTTTACTTATATGTTTATTTACTAACAAAGTGATATTTATAGTAGCTCGATGTAGCCAACTAGTTAAATTCCGATGGAACAAGTAACACACACCGCCTCCTTGCACCCAACATACGGGGCGTGCGGTGTGTGCAGGTGGGGAGACAGGCCTGTGGTTACCTGTGCTTTGTTCAGCGGGGATTTCTTGGCCCACTCAAACAAGTTTTCATAGACATTGCCATCATAGCGGCCCAGCACAGAGCCGAGGGTCATGTCTTTAAAATCAAATGCGTCAACCAGGGCAATGGCGTCAGGGCGGATGACGGTCAGCAGCTCCTTGATCCGTTGGTTCACCTGGTTCATCTGAGAATCTGTCAAGATGCTGCCCTGAAAGGAACCAGACACACACACAACTATGAGACCACAGTTCTCATTTAAAGAGAAAAAAAAAGTTAACCCAACCTAGCAGTGACTGACCTGAAGAAAGTCTCCAGCATGCTGACTGATCCCATACAGAGCGTACAGGAGGCACAAATTCCTCAGGACGGCGTGGACGGAGCTCTCCTGAATTTTGTGGAGCTTTTCTGAAAAGAGCTTAACTGCCACATAGTGGCAATGTGCCTAGAAAGAAGAAAGGGTGAGGGCCTTTTGAAAAGCTTCAGACACAGTGACAAGGTTTCCACCCCCGGATCCAGAGAAGTAGGCCCACTCACCTCGCTTGCGCGGACCAGGTCCACGGAGGTGAGGTTCCAGGCTACCTCCTTGCTCTTCCTGTGACTCACTTCCACTTGGAGGGTTTTTGCAGCAATTTCTACTAATCTGTCAGGAAACGAAGGACAGTTTGCAGTTCAAGGAAATGACCACTGGCACTCACCCTCTCCCCAGCAGGCTCTGGCCAGCACAGCTCACCTGGCTGCACGGAGTTTATAGGCTTCCGTCAGGCTGTCGGGGCAGCTGATGTCCACCACGGTGGGCCAGACGGCCACCTGCTGAGGCTGGATGCGCTGACTGGGTAGGTCATTCAAGTAGGACACCATGCCACACACCAATTTTCCCGACTGTACCTGGTCGTAACTCTTCATCAGGAACCTGAACATGAGCAATACACACCCTGTCAGGCTGTACTTCTGCTGGACACAAGGAACACGTGAGCAGTAACATGCTACTGAAATCTGTGCTCACTGTGGACAGGAATAAACTCTTGAAACAACTTCAATTTCTGGGTCTGGGGTGCATGTGTCTATGTGAGACACTGTCTAGACTGACAGATAAAAACAGTGGGTCAGGATGGAAAGCAAAACTGTTTCTCAGGAAGAAAAGGGATATAAAACCACAGGAGTTGGCGCCTGTGAAAAGGCCTCAAGTCTTTCTAAAGCCTAAAACGACAGTCCTGCAGGAGAGCTGATTCCAACGCAGCGACTGCACACAGGCAGCGGAGACCTGCCCACAGGCCGTTTGAGGCTGTAAATCTTTAGTGATGCTGACTTGTCTCATCTTTCTCTTGAGAGGGGCTGGAGCTTTGAACTGTCAATCTTGTGCTTCGCAGCCCAAGGCTTATCCCACTGTACCACCAGGGCCTCTTCAAGTCTTTTTTAGAACAGATAAATCCTGCAGCAGAGTCTCACCTCGCTGTCTGAAGCATCATGACCGTGTTCTCTCCCTCAAAGGTGCAGGTTGGGGTGAAGTTGACATAAATGTTGGGAAGGCCGCTGCAGTGAGAGTAGCCATGCCCTCCACAAGCCATCCGGCATGCTTCGATGGCCGCGTTAGCAGTCCAGGAGGTGAAAGCCTTAAGGCCGGCAGTGAGGGCGTGGAGCTAAGAGGGGACAAATCCGAGGCCATGTGAACATGAGTGTGACCGGAAATCCCAGTACCAATGAGAAAACACGCGGCTCCGTCCCTGGCACCATCACCCCCCACTGAAGCAGCACAGCCTTCTAGGGGTACAGCAAACTGCCTCCGAACCCCTCTGAACCATTCTTCTCGGCAATGAAGTCACCAGTTACGTTCCTTCGACTGACAAATACGAACAACACTTTCTGATTGACATACTTCTGAAACAAAACCCACAAAAACAAAAAACAGGTCCACAACCACTTTCAACCAGAAGCTGTGACTCTCTGGAGAAGATGCGGTTCTTTTCAAGAAATGCCATCATTTGGTTCTCTCTGGAAATTATCCAACAGCAAACACAGAATCGAAGGGTGGAGGGAGGAGGCCACCCACATACCTCAGGCAGCTCACTCAGGTCCCCCTGGCCGATGTCTTCATTGATCCGATGATAGGTCTCCTTCATGTAGGCGCCTACGAACTGGAAGGCATAGGCAGTGGCCAGGAGTGGAAAGAGTTTATACTGCTGGGTCTGAAAATCCAGAATCTGGGGTTCCGGCTCACTAAAGGATGTAGAAAATGATGGGTGGGAGGGAGAGAAGACAAACACACAGAATTTGCCACGTGGCAGGTTCTATTACAAACATCCTATATGTATTTATTCAGTTCTCATAAAGATCCTGTGAAGTGGCTGGTGTCATCATCTCATTTTACAGATGAGCAAACGGTGACTGGCCTGCAGTCACACAGGATGTAATATCCTTGGCTGAATGGAGGTTATCTGGCTCCAGAGACCATGCTTTTAGTGGTCAGATGTATTGTTTCAGGTACATGACATTTTCTAGCTGTGAAATCCTTGTCTTTCTAATCATTCCAATATGATTAAGGCGGTGAACCTCACAGCAACACAGAGAATCCCGTCAGCTCCCCTCCTGTTATTACCTGTGGTCACGCACCACTGAGGTGATGACTTTTCGTGACCCCAGGAATGGAGAATACTAAGGAGGCCTAGCATACTGCAAATAGCCCTGGGGGCACAGAAGGAAGTGCTCAGCTGCCAGGTACCCCAAGAAAGATGTGGCTCTGCTCCTAGACACTCAGCCTTGGAAATTCTAAGGGGCAGCTGTGCTCAGTTCTACAGGGATGCTGTGAAGTACCACCTGCCTCCACAGCAACAAGTAACACACTAAGGGCTAATTTTTTTTTTTTTTATAATTTTGTGGACGATCAAGTACAATGTTATTCTTAGGTGCTTTCGAGTCAAGCACAACCCCCAGCGACCCTATGAACAATAGTCTGAACCCTGTCCCATCCTGTGCCGTCCTCACACACCGTGACACACTAGACCCCCCCGCAGTCATAATTACAAAGCATTAGATATTCTAAAGTGTAACAGTGAGCACCAAGGCCTGCCCCATACATTTCTTTCAGCTCTTTTTGAGAGTTCAAGGTTACCAAAGCCAAGCCCGCATGTAAGGCAGTACTAAACCAAAAATAAACTATGGTCAGAAACAACAGGGAATCCTCCCTTCTGTATCCCCTTCCAGGCAGGGAAGTCCGTCCCTCTGAGGATGTTAACGGTCTAATAAATCTACCTTTGTTATTTCACTCTCAAAATAAACACCAAAAAACAAAACCAATTTGTGATTCCACAAAGTGAATCTATCTAATTGAATGCCATTTCAGTATACTCAATTCACTGCAGTCAAGAGTGACTCCAATTGTAAAGGTGTTGAGTGCTCTGAATATTTCATTTCCACAGTTCAAGTGGCAGTATTATTACTCTTCTTAGGTTAAGAGAAGGAGGTGCTTCTTCTCATCTCTCACTTAAAAGAAAGCAGACTTGGGTACGAAGCAGCAGGCCCAGTACACTGCCATCCCGCCCATTCTGCATAACTAATCTGTCTTCTCTAAACCCCACCTGGGAACAAAGCTATCTGAATGGGGACAAGGCCAGGCCTGCAGTGGCTCCCATTCAGACCCACTTACTTTGGCTTGATCTCAGATTGGTGCCGCACAGCGCTGTACCGGATGGCAATGGTGCAGGCCTTGGACAGGGCCCGCGCGGCCTCTCCCACGAGGAAGGATCTGACAAACACCATGGTCCCATAGGTCAGCTTATTGCTCAGGGGTTTCACGTACGTGCCATCAGGCTTCACCTGCAGAAGAACAAGGGACGACGCTGCTTCCGATGAAGTCAAGTGCCAAGCTAGGCCAGCAGTTCTCAAAGTGTAGCCCTTGGGATAACAGCATGTGCATCCTGACCAAAGGAGTCACAGAGTGTGGGGTGGGGCCTGAGAGACTTGTTTCAATGGACCCTCCAGGTGATACAAATGTAGCTAACAGCTCAGTGGTTTAGGAAAACAGAAGGGGTTCATCATAATGCCCACAGCTTCTTATTCCAACTGCCCTGACAGAAGTGACATCCGCAGTAAAAAGATGTTACTTCTTCCTAAAAGAACAGCCTTTCAGACCCTGTGATGGTTGCCATGAGCCACTAACATCCCTGTCTGAGGTATGCACTCCTCCTTCCTGTGTAAGAGTACCTGGGCATACTTCATGAGCATGTTTTCTCTGGGGATCCGATAGTTGTCCATCTTCAGGTAGCCGTTATCCATCTCATCATAACCAAATTTGGGGCCAATGTCGCCAACAGTAATACCTAGCACAGAGGATAATCACAAGAGATTTAGGTTCTGGAAGTCTTGGGTCCTCTCCTCTTTAGTTGCGTATTATACTTTAGGCAGAGAAAAACGGTGATATGAACTCTGCATCTCAACATCAATGGAGGAGTCTTACCTGGCAAAGGCTTGTGGGTCCCGATTTCTCGGATAGGCACAATGAAGGCATGGAGTCCATAGCATTTCCCTTTAGTGATGAGCTGGGCAAGAACTATTGCGTGATTTGAAGTCTTTCCAACTGAAACAACAAAGAAAACAAGAAACAGAAGTAGGTAAACCTTTACTTACATTTTTTAAAGGCAAAAACCAAAGAGGGAGAAAATGTTAGGTATAAACACTAGATTCAATCAACAAAAGGCACTCAGAAAGCCTTCCTGAGGGTAGCGTTCAGAAAGTCACTTAAGCTGTTAATAAAATTTATTGAATTTTAACTTATTTACTGCAGTGTTCAAAACACTAACTAATGATAGACCATAATGAAATGAAAGGTCCAGTTCCCCCAATCATCTAGCAACATTTCAAGTGCTCAACAGTTCAACGGGGCCAGGAATGAGGACCACCCAGACGGCAAAACCAGCCAGCACTCTGCTCCTGCAAAGATTCTACAGGATGAAGAAGATGGTGGTTTTGTATCTGGAAAAAATTCCATTTTTTGCATGGCATAATAGGTTTTTCCTCGTTATTTAGATAAGAAAATGTCATATAAAGCATGTATAAAAAATAAAAGAATCCTGGATATATTGTTATGTGCCATCGAGTCACGTGCGACTCATAGCGACCCTATGCACAAGAGCCCTAAATGCCGTTCTATCCTGTGCCAACCTCGCCGTCTCAAACACATTCATTCCCACCACTCCAGTCACAGACTCGATCCATCTCATCAAAGGTCTTCCTCTCCTGTGCCGTCCCTCCACTCTGCCAAACATAATGTCCCTCTCCAAGGACCAGTTCTTCCTTGCAATATGCCCAAAGTGTGTCAGATGAAGCTTCAGAATCCTTGACTCCAAGGAGCATTCTGGCTTCACCTTCTCCAGGACAAACCTGTTTGTTCTCCTAGCAGTCCATGGTATATTCAACACTCTTCTCCAGCACCACAGCTCAAAGGCATCAATTCTCTTTCCTATCTTTCAATCATTAATTATTTGAAGTATATGTACTTCCAAGATAGTAAGTCAGACTAAAATAAGATAACTAAAAGTACATCAGTGATGATTTGTAAAGAAAATGAATTATCATTTGATGGTAAATCAGTTATAATTTATACATAAAATTTTGAAAAAGAATTCAAATGTTTCACAATACAGAAACAACAAAACAAACAGCAAGATATAAAGCTCATTTAAATGATGAGTATGCAAACTATGCTACTGCATGGGAATGTTTATACAAAAAACTAAGAAAAGCAAAGTAAGACAGATGTCAACTCTAAAACATATTAATGTATATCACACATGACACAAGAGCGCTTGAAAATGATTATTTCCAGTAAGTTCTACCTTCCCCACATAGTCTTATAATAAATATCCACATTGCTACAGGGGGCTGCGTCCGCTCGGATCCACAGGCACCCTGTTAAGACAGAACAGAGTTGCTTCATCTTTGTAACTACCACCAAGGGTCAGAAAATTCACTTACGTCCACCCGGCCACCACTTAATGGAGGTTACAGTAGGACTGTTGAGGATGAACTCTTGGGTTTCGGGATCGTAAGTGGCTGTGGTTTCCAATCCTCGAAGATGAGTCCCTGAGGAAAGAAATGACATCTACTTTAGGTGGAAAACGGGAGAAGGTTGGCACAAGGGAAAACTTCCTGCCCAGTCTTTTAAGCAATTTCATCTCAAAGAAAAGAGTCTTACAACACTAAGAATATTTGCAGATGACCTAGAAAAAGTTGCTAACATAGCCCAAGCCCTATATTTCAATCCTATGGCTTCCCATTAGGTTGGAAACATAACTATCAAGCCCACTGTTACTCTAATTGCCAGGATACACTTTACAGCAGTGGTTTGAAACACTGAGGTCAACCAAAAGAAATGCTCAAGGTAGCACCGAGCCATACTGTCCTAAGTATGACCAACGCAGAGAAAATCATCTGGAACACTGACTTTAGGATTCCTAAAGGCCTGGTCCTAGAGGAGGAGTCCACCCTGCTGACTTCCACACCAAGCCTGAAGTTCAAACTAGCAGGGTGACCAGAGTGACCCATCGCTAGCATCATGTTTATGAGAGATGGTCAGGCATTCACGTCTTACATCCTAATAAATGTCAAAGGTCTTCCAAAGGATTACAGGAATGTCGTCTCGATGACACATTTCCTAATTAATAACATGCTGAAAGAATTCCTAAGAATCGTACCAAAGTGCTTCCATGTCAGACCTCAGTAAACCCCTAAACTATGACACGTGTAGGGACTTCCAAGCTGAAGCACAGAACTGGGCAGCTTGTCAGGAGGTCACAGCTTTGCCAGAGTGGGAGTCAAAGAACCAGATACCAAAGTAGCAGCTTTCACAAAACATGGGAGGAGGGGGAGAGGTAACATGTTAAGTGGCACAGATAACAAAATGTTTTCAGATGCACCACGGAAGCAGCTGAGCAGGCCGTTCCCCAAGGCCTGGTCGAGTGGAATACTCAGCATCCACACATGGCAGGGGTCTGTAAGATTCAGCACGTGGCAGGTGTCTGTAAGATTAAGAAAACACGGCTGCGTGGAAACAAGCAGTGGCAAAGGTACCCTAGCAGAGTAGGTTTTTCTAAAGACTTTTTTTCCCTTCTAGTTTTGCTGAGCAGAAGAAAATGAAGCCAGGGGCAAGAACGGCAAACACTGACACCAGTTCACAGCAGAAGAAAGGAGCAACTGCCACCAGCTTCATTAAGAAGGTCAGCAAGGGATGGAAAGAAAAGAGGTGGGAAAAAAGAGAAGCAGTCCGTGTGAAATGCACTGCTTAGAAGTATGGCTTCTGTTGGCATTCCTAAGTTCTGGCCAAAGCACCAACCACAGAGCTTTACTCAACACTGAACTCAAAGTACAAATAACTTTCAGGCACAAAATTACACATTTTTAGCTATATAACCTAAAGTCACATAAACATATCACCTCCTTTAAGCAAGTCAGAGGAATAAATACTGCACCATTTGCATTTCTTCTGGAATTAAAGCCATGAGTGGTTTAAAAAATGAAGTGGAAAGAAAAGTTCACTTTCTATATTCACAATGATTTTGCGAAATTTCAAAACCAAACCGAACAGTATCTTGGGAGTCCACTCTGACTCCCACGACCAGGGGACAGAGTTGAGCTGCTCCAAAGGGTTTTTCAGAGACTCTTAAGTCTTTACAGAAGCAAACTGTAAAGACTGCCACGTCTTTTCCCTCATGGGGCAGCTGGTAGATCTGAACTACTGGCCTTTCGATTAGCAGCTGGGTGCTTAACCACTGGGCTGACAGGGTTCCATACATCAGGTTTCAGGGAACCATGACAAGCGACTTAGCAGATAAGGTCTGGCTTGAAGTTCTTGAATTTCTGAACAGGAGCCATGAGAAAACTAATGAGCACATGTCTGTCACTGCCCAACTACTGATGTCCACTGAAGAGCGTTCCATGCCAAGACATGTGTGTACACACGCACATGCAGGCCACTTGCACTCTGCAGAAAGATGGCGTTTATGGACGGGGTCTGTGGAGATGTCATCGCCAAGCTCGCAGGGGCCCCGCCCAGCCCCAAAGGTAGACTGAATGCACCATACCATGACCCATCTCTGTCTGGGCATAAGTGCCAATGATCTCCAAGTTCCAGGCAGGCATGAAGAAGCGCTCCTGCTGCTCTGCGGTGGCCTGGTGAAGCAAGGTGGGCAGGAACATGCCCAAGTGAAGATCCAGGGGCTCAGGCCGCCCACGGTGCACAAAGCTTCAAAGAAATACCAAGGATGGGCATTTGAGAGAAGTCATCAGGTGTGAGAGAATCAGCAATTTCAACAGACAGAATGAGGGAAGGAGAGAAAAGAAAACTTTCTGTAAGTACGAATTAGTCGGGTGACTCTTAGCAGGGATGGGAGCACTGCCTTTTTCTGTATTACCGAATGTTCTTTATTTTTCAAGTTAGCTAGGAGCATGCTCTGGTGATGCTCATCTCTCCAATCATCTTGGGTGGGCAAAACCAAACCTGCGCAGTCCCAAAGCCGAGAGCACGAGCGAGCATTCCAGGCTAGCAGTGAAATCAAAGGCAACAGACAATTTGGAAAAGTTGTTTGGCGTGCAGAATTTAAGGTGCAGCGTGGCTGATGGTGATTAGATAAGGTGAGGAGAGGAACACAATGGTTCTCTCAGAATGACAGATAGTACGTATGGTCTCTCAGAAACAGTCCAGTGCTGTGTGTCATTTCAGTGACACTTCTAGGCTGGAATCTTTCCTGTTTGTCTGCAAAAGATCCAGCACAGATCTCTTTTTTCTCATGTTATGCCAACTGTTTCAGATTCATATCAAATATTTACCCACTGTCTAGGGAAAGAATTTAATACAAAAATTGACAGTGCTCTTCACCCAATTCTATTTCCGATAGATTAAAGAAATATCTAGTGAAAGTTTTAATTTAAATAACAGATACATGCATAACAAGCTTTCTATCATGATAATGTGGGAATCACCACCAATGAACATTAGAATCTTGATTTTAGTATATTTTAAATCTACTTTCTGAGAAGGTCACTCTTTTCTGTTAGAATTCAGATGCCTTAGACTTACGTATGAGCTTATTTTTATTTCTTAGGCGTATGAAATACTTCTAACAAGCCATCATATTTTTTTCATGCTACTGAAAAACTGGTTTAAGTTCTAAATCAATCTATATCATATTGCTCTTATTCTTTTAAGTATCTTAAAAGATATCTTAAATATCTTACCCATTGAATCAACCACCAGGGCTTTCCAAATTTTAAATATCTTAAAAAATACATTTTAAATCTCTTAAAGGCCTGATCAACCTTTCCGTTTTAAAAGTTTCCCAGTTTGTTCCATAGAAGGTAGAATACGGTGGGGAAAATTTAAAAACAAGAGTACACTACTTGAGCCAGGAACAATCAACTACATGTAGCTCCCAACTTAATGAATTCACTCCAATCACTTCCTCTCTAAGTTGGGTCTGACCTAAGTTACCTTTTTAAATTTTCATTATTACTGCCTTTTTTTTTAAACATTCATTTATCTGACTTTATTTCAATAGGAGACATCTGCTGGGAACCTTAAATGCGCGACTATTCTTAAAAGTGCTATTATTGCCTTCTATCATAGCTTTGTGAATTCCACCTTTGAACATTTACAAATGACAGCATAACATATTATGTCCTATAGCACTATATTGCTTGTATTACTAAACATTAAGATCTATGTGAAAAACCCAACCATCCAGAGTGTCCTAAGCGTGGTCTTCCTCTCTTCAATGCTGTACATCAGGCACTACCTGTATTTTTTCCAGGCAAGTAGTTGTGCTTGAAATGATCCAAACTTAAACCAAAGTATAAAGAAGACCTACCAGACTTCCTCCTTTTACAGAGGAGACATGAAGAGGTGAGTTAAGTGTTTTGTTTAGGTCAAAAAGAGAAGGCCAAAATGAGGATAAGTGACACTTTGGCTAATTTCAGTGGGTGATAAAATCAGAAACACCAAAGTCACTGGTGAAACTCCACTGAGTTTTCAAAGTCGTAAACTTTAATGAGTAAAAATTGCCATCTTTCTCCTTTAAAATGGCTCGTGGTTTTGAACTGCTGACCTTTCAGTTAGCAGCCCAGCCTACAAAGTCTGCAGGAGACAGTACTATATAATGCAACATGGGCTGTGAATGCTGATAAAGATGCTTAAAAGACCAGCTCAAAGCAGAGCTGTCCCTGAAGAGTCAAAGGTGGACACCCGTCGATGTGCTGGCACAGGTGGAGAAGGGTGCCCAGGGCTTCTCAGAACTGCTTTTAGAACTGTGAAATAGTTGCCATGCTAACCAAAAGGTCCATGGTTTGAATCCATCAGTGGTTCCATGGGAGACAGATGAAATCTCCTACTAAGATTTATAGCCTTGCAAACCTTATGAGGTTTGCTATGAGTCAGAACTGACTTGACGATTAGGGGCTTGGTTTGGGTTAAATCTTTGATTAGGAGCTCTGCTGATGAGCTTGTTAAAACACAAGTTGTTAAATGAAAAATCAGTATGCAGTGTCGTCCACTTTGAGAGCTACTCTGTCCTACAGGGTTTATACAAGTTGAAATTGATTTGGTGACTAAGGATTTTTGCTTTGTTTTTGTTTGCTGTGATAAAAATTAAAGAGAATTTTATTGGGGAAAAAAAAGAACTGTGAAATAAGTGGTGGTGGTGGTGGTTATACTGGCTGATTTTCAACTCACAAGAAGAATCTAAAATCATTTAATAAAGTTTTAAGATACAAAGTGGGAGTCCCACAAAAACACCTTCATGGGGGGGGGAATAACCAAAAAAACACATTCCTGGGATGAGAGGGGGCCTTTCACTCAGCAACAGGAATCTCCACTGTGCCCGACTTTAAAGAACTGCGTGTCTAGAATGAAAACTGCCCATGGTCCTCGGACCAAAAAGGAGAAAGCTCTGGACTGAAAACTGGCCGCGGACCAGCTCCGTTCCCTCACAGAAATCGTACATTCCTAGAAATCAGCACAATCCCTGGGAAACGGAGGGCCAGGCAGGCGTGGTATGAATACCAAGGAGGGCTGCAGTCAGGCTCTGTTCCGA